TAATCTATTGCCTCACTCTAAACCCCGCGCATGTTTTTATTTTGATGACAAATGCAGCGATACAAAAATAAAGGAATCTGTCGCTTGTAAACAAAATAAGACGCCATTGTATATTCAGCTGCAGACACCGCGGTATGTTCGGCGTTTTAAGAGGGAACAAATGCCGCCCTTAATATCAATCCGGGGGCTTTTCAATTTGAAAGTTTGGTTTCTTTGATTGTTAATTAACCCCTATCCTGTGTATTTAAAAGCAAAAGATTTTAGTTATCAGAATCGGGTCAGGTCCCCTTTTGATCGGTTTGACGTGCCAGTACATTTATATACACTAAACTCATTATAATTTGACAAATAATAGCTTTGCAATTATGTTCATTCTTTATGGGATGTCGTCTGCTTGGGCAGTATTGGTCCCTGTTGTGACGTCATTAAAACATCGTTATTTTTCTGGCGAATCTCTCGTATATCCCAGCTGCTATGGAGGTGGTTGTATTTTTATTTTTATAAATCACCCGATATGTAGCTGACCTCAAACTTTTACGATGGCCATCTGTTAGCTTACCAGTTTCTAGTGATACATTAGTTGACATATTTGTGATTTTCTTTGAATTTCACCTTTAACAATTTGTTATCTTCAATGTTCGTGACGTTTTGACGTTGCATATTTGTTAGCTAGCGCTAGTAAAGTCTTTTGTTTTAACGTGCACTGTATATAGTTATAAGGCCTGAACACGTCATGTTCACATTGGGTGTTATATAACATACGGATATTATAGTACATGTAACTTTTAAAAGCACTTTGTTTTTGCAACGCAATGACAAAAGACAGCTCTTTGAGCAGCTAATAGTTGTTGCGCTCATAGGCGGCTATTCCCAATTACCGGGCATTATTTGTTATTGTATCATTAGTTAAGTTTATTAATCTATTCATGTTTTCTATTTATTTATTTAGTTTTGGGGAGGGGGATGTCGTATTACGAATTCATGACCCTTATACATAATGACCATGTTCTCAAATTACGAATAGCGGTCTTCATGAATAGTTGTCCAATGAATAGCGGTCCTTATAACTAGCGAGCAACCTTAATGTGTAGCTAAACAAGAATCTATAGCAAGTCGGACAATTATAGCGATCAAACAATAGTCTTGCTCGGCCGCGTGAAATCCTGCCACGGCATTCTATGTCTTTACCTTTAGAGCGAACTTTTCTTTTGTATTCGCTCCATAGAACTCTACTTTATCTTACAGCGAGGTGAAATGAAAAGAGCGTCATCATGAGTAGATCTATTGTTTGATGTTATCCTTCTTCTCCCTAGTTAAGCCAAACCTTCAATTTAGGCCTATCCATAAAAGGTAGCTTCCTGTACCGTTCGCTTTTTTTTCCTGACTGCTATATGAAGCATGTGTATGCTCTGAATTAGGCAAACAGGGGACCGGCGGGTTTAAGATCCTCTCCGAACGAAATGTAATGTTGAGTTATGCCTTACAATAGCATATCGACTTGGTTTCTAACCAGGGAGCTCCCGGTTACGAGCTGCTCTGCTCTACCACTGGGCTATAGCGCCCCCCTCCTTTTAAAAAGATCTTTTAAAATTTGCCGGTTTTTTTTTTTAGAATAAGAATCAAAACATGTTTGGTATGTTTTTTGTATCTGTGCATTAAGATTTCAAAATTTCACTTTCGCCACTTAATTATACAAATCTACGAATAAATGATTCGAATGTTAGAGCAGAAATCAATGTTTGCATTTGTGTCGAATGATTAATTATCATCATGAACTGATTAATGTTTTGTATTGCATTTCCAATTGCTGCTCAACTTTATCACCATCAGGCTACGCTTTTTTGTTTACATCTTCATGACACACGTGTTTTATAATCTCGATATAGTTCCCGGACTCTTTTTTCTATTTATTGCACTTTTAAAAAGAGCTATGGAATTATTATGATTTAAAACGCCTTTTGGACGGGCAATTTTCGAAGGCAAATCTCGGGCGTGAAATCCTGCCATGGCATTTTATGTTTTTTTTTTTCCCTGAGGCCACTTAACAAAATATACATGTTTAGCGTCCCCGCCTGCTTCCTTTTTGGGGGCCGCCTCCTATTTTTTATTTTTGGGGAAATTTGTTTTAATTTTTTTTTTTATTTAATTAAAAAAAAAAAAAAAAAAATGAAAAAAAAACACATGAAAAACAATACTAAAATGGATCTATTACTGATTTTTTTTAAAAGTTAAAAGATTTCGGCGGCCATCTTGAAAAATAGCCCGACTGTCAGGGAGAATGTACCGAGCGGCCATTTTGAGCGGCCATTTTGAAAGAAAAAAAAAAGAAAAGAGAGGGCCTCCTCCTTCCTAGTTTTCGAAAAAAACAGGACACTAATAATCATTTTTTTATTTGGCCTTAGAGCGAACTTTTCTTTTGTATTCGCTCCGTAAAACTCTACTTTATCAAACAGCGAGGTGAAATGAAAAGAGCGTCATCTTGAGTAAATCGTTTGTTTGATGTTATCCTTCTTATCCCTAATAAGCAAACCTTTAATTTATTAGAACCAAGTCATGGGAGGAGAAAAAAAAAGGATTTGACTGACAAAATATAAATTCTTCCAAGCTCAGGCTGTGGCGATGTGCAACGCGTAGCGTGAATATTAATGACGGGAGAGAAAGATAATTCCTTTGTCCATTATACGACGCTAGAATCATATCGCGATGTGGGAATTATACAAATATGTTGATAAGCATTCAAATTACAAACATACACAAGCGACCCAAACAGTAATCAATTTGCCGACTATAACCGCATACATGTGGTCATTCACATCATTCGTCTTTTATTTTTTGTTGTTGGGGACAATTAAGCTCGCAATTAAACAACCATTAATCGTACATAGTCATCTTTATTTCACATTTCATACAGTCGTCACAAAAATTAAAAGGAGGCGTATTAAACCCAACAAAAATAAATCATAATGTATTCTGATCAAGATGAACGAGTGTGTTGATTGCCCCCCCCCCAAAAAAAAACAAAGACGATCCCACCAGAGAAGTTCATGCTGTGCTGTAGTAATGTACATCGCAAAGCTTCGCCACAATGATTGGAAAGGTAATACCCCGCCCGTTACGACGCAAAACGGCGCGAGAAGAATAGATCGCGACGCGAGAAGAATACATCATTTTTGTACAAACAATGGAAAGTTTTTCAGAACGAAAACCGGAGGAGGGGAAGTCAGGCTTTGGCCGACAAATACTTTCTGTATATCAAGTTTAAGCTGTACCGCGCATCACGAGCGAGAACAATGACGGGAGAGATAATCTTCCATCGCCTGGTGGGGCGCAAAAGGGCGCAAGAAGAATAGAGCGGGTTTATACTAACAATAGACGGTTTCTTTTCATATGCAAGAATCAGGTGAGGGTGACTATTGCGCCCCTTCGCGCCCCTTTGCGCCTCAATGCGTCTCTTGGGACGCGACTGTTCTATTCATCGCGCCCCGACGCGTCCGGGCACAGTCGCAACTTTGGAAGGCTCCCCTAAGTAATCCGTAAATAATCTGTAAACAAATCGTTAACCAACGGAAACAAATTGTGAAAGGAGTCTTTACGAGTCATTTACGGATTCCTGCGAGCAGTTAACTGAAGGGAAAGTGCTGATCCGAGCGGTTTACGATACTTACGGATCGTTAGGACCTATTTACGAGTTATTTACGGACAAATAAATCTGTGGACAATCGTAAGAAAATTTTTGACATGTCAACGGATCCTTACGAGTGTCTGCGAGTTGTTGCGAGTTGTGACGAGCTATTTACGGAAACCAGCGAGTTACTTACGGATTCTCGCTATTGACTATGAGTTGGCGATCCGCAAGGACTCGTAAGGAAAATTCGTGTATGTAAAGGGGGTATAAGTTATCACAGTTTTACGATCAGAATAACCTGATTTTTTTGTTATCATATTTTCGAATGAAAACGAGAGGCAACGGATCCGTTTCAGAAAAAGGTTAATTCTTACTTTCGTTCTGCATCACAATAAACCACTTTGGATAATATTCAATTAAATGCAGTTTTTCGGAAAATCATCGACAGTATTCTACCTAGATATACGTCTTATAAATTGCTCCAACAATGCTTAATACCCCCTTCACATACACAGATTTTCCTTACGAGTCCTTATGAATCACCAAGTCGTAGTCAATTGCAAGCATCCGTAAATAACTCGCTAGTATCCGTAAATAACTCGTCACAGCTCGCAACAACTCGCAAAAACTCTTAAGGACCCGTGAAAGGAGGGGCAAATTTGTTGACATGTCAAAAATCTTCTTACGATTGTCCACGGATTTTTTTTCCGTAAATAGCTCGTAACGATCCGTAAGTATCGCAAATCGCTTGCAACAACACGTAACGATCCGTAAACTGCTCGCAAGAATCCGTGAATGACTCGTAAGACAAAATGTTAACGATTTGTTAGGGTTAGTTTACGATTTGTTTACGGATTATTTACGGATTATTGCGAGTGCTAACGTGTTATTTACGATTTCATTCAGGTCCTGATACGATGGCTTTATGCATTGTTACGATTATTACGAGCACTTAAAGTATAGTTACTAGTACTTTCCGAATAGATACGTATAATTTACGTATACTTGCGAATTGTTTACGATTTGGGGAAAAGTATAAAAGCTGCAAATTCGAACACTTCATTTCCAGTTGTTAATATTTGGTTAAAAATCGTAAGGACTTGTAATACTCGTAACTAACTCGTAACTATTCGTAACAACACGTAAACAGGTCGTATCTAACACGTTAGTTGCTCGTAGTTATCCGTGACGTACAACTCGTAACAAATCGTGGAATTTTGCCGTAACAACTCGTAACAACTCTTCAATCGGTTGTAAATCGTAAGGATCCGTGAAAGATTAGTGAATTTGTGTGATCCGTAAGGACTCGTAAGAAAAATCTGTGTATGTGAAGGGGGCAAAAGGAAGAGTGGAAGTCTTGTACGGTGGATCGTGGATGACCGTATGTGGTGATGTCAACTGGGATCTATTCGAAGCAAGGGTAATATGTAGAATGCTGGGGTTCGACAGTGCCCTGGACGCGCCACGATCGGCTAGATTTGGTCAAGGTTCTGGTGATATTCTTCGTGTCGGATGCTGGGGAACAGAAGACAGCCTGGTAGATTGTTACAGTGTGGGGCTTGCTTCATGTAGGCATCACAGGGATGCGAGCGCCGTGTGTTACTCAGGAAGTACGAACTCTTTTGAACATGAGCAAACGTCTAGTCGTAATTTAACAACAATTTTCTTTGAGCTAATACGGCCTGCATTTAGTTCTTCCTATCATTTCCACAAAATAAATTACTAAAATCTAACGTTTCCGTTTGAGAAAGTGATAGTGAAGGTCTTATCACATATTATGACGGCGATTGACATTGACACCTTTTTTTATGCATTTCGTGAATGTTGACTAATATGCAGTCATATTGCTTTCAAGAACCCTACACATAATAATATATGTATATTAGTTCGCTTTAGTTTATACACGTTTTTTTAAATTAAGCCCGCCCAATCCATTTGGCGAACGTCTCATCGGTGGCACCACAAACAAAAATTATCTTTCACTGACCATAAACGCTCGTTCAAGCATAGACTATGGTTCAAGCAAGACGCGACAAAATCGCGGCGGTTTTCTCAAATGAATGTATAACGTAAGATGTATCCCTTGTTGAGCGCCATTGCTCATTTACATGCCATGTCTGAACAGGCCTTTAGGGATCTTCTTACGTTTCATGAACGATTTTTAAGCAACAATGCTATTACTTTTGTCTCAAGTATTTTAAAAGTATATTAATTTTTTGCAAAAAGACCGTGAGGAAATTTTGTATTACCAACTCCTTTTTTTTCAGATAATGTTGGTTCTATTAAAACGCACTCTTTTTCTCTTCAAAGCTGACGAAGCAATAAACGAGTGAGATAAGGAAAATAATCTAATTCACTGGTTTTGGTTTGTATCAAGTTTGTCATTATCTTGTTTTATATCCTAATCAATATATTACGCGGTAGATATCTAATAAAAACAGCTTTAACTGAAAATTATCTATCTCTAAGAGATAAAGAACCTCTAAAACCTGAACGAATTCATCCGTAATTGAAGAAATTTCCGGTTTATATAATATCTGTAGAGTTTTTCTCTTCTTAAGAAAGAAATGTAGGCTGTATAGGCTTACTTCTTTGTCACTTATCTCGGGTCTCTTAGACATCTCCTTTTGTGAATATTGGGCTAACAAAAAAAAACTTGTATGTGTTTTAACCATAATTTTTGGTATTTGTTTTAACCATAAAGTGTGCACTCTTTTGGTCTAAATGTGACAGATCCCTTTCAAGTTCGTGTTGTCGGTGGATTTAACGATGCTGTACGATGGATCCTGGGGAACTATCTGTGATCGCTTGTGGGATCTTAGAGACGCGAAGGTGGTTTGCAGAATGCTGGGGTTTAATGGAGCCTTGGACACACCGATATCTGCAAGATTTAGTCAGGGCTCTGGTCGTATTCTTTTAGATTATGTCGAGTGTGAAGGAACAGAATATAACATAGCAGACTGTGCCCATGGAGGGATTGGAGATTATACTTCATGCGGACATTCCAGGGATGCAGGCGTCATTTGTTATTCCGGAGGTAGGTTTCTCTGGTCCGTATTCTTTAGAGATAAGATTATTAGTCGATCTATGAAGACAAAATGGAGCAGTTATTCTAAAACACCTAATTTGATATTATTGCATTTTATTTCGAATAGTTTAAATAAGTCGAGGGCTTTTCATTTTCTTTTTTCCGACAATGGAATAACAAAACTCTACAACTGATAAAGTTTTATTTTCGACCAGATCTCCAGTGAAATGACTTTGAAGTTCATGCCCTGTTTCTCTGTGGATATCTTAGCAAATTATTTCCAATGAAATGATAGAGAAGAATTACAACTTTATTGTATTTTTTTCATGCATACAATATATAGAGAAAACATCAAATTGTTGGCACTTTACACCTGAATTCATTTCCATGAGTAGTTCAGACAAATGATAAGGTTTATTTCATAAAGATTGGCAAAATGTGAAAATTGTAGAAAAATAATAATAATTTTTTTCCTTAGCCCATACTCAGCAATTTGAAGTTCGTCTTGTCGGTGGGTCTAACGAAGCTGAAGGTAGAGTAGAGGTACTGAACGATGGATCCTGGGGAACTATTTGTGATGACAGCTGGGATCTGAGAGACGCGAGGGTGGTTTGTAGAATGCTGGGATTTGGTGGAGCGTTGGACGCACCGGGATCTGCTAGGTTTGGTGAAGGTTTAGGGAATACTCTTCTAGATGATGTGGATTGTTCGGGTACAGAAGACAACCTAGCAGAATGTCCACATAGAGGGGTTGAAGTTCATGACTGTGGACACAGCGAAGATGCTGTTTTATCGAGGATTGTAGGATTAAAACAGCCTCACATGACTTTTAACCAAACATTATACAAATGTCAGTTGGCAAAACTTTTCATATATTTTAACCACCCTGATTCTCCTTCACAGATCCATTCCAAGTTCGTCTTGGCGATGGGTCTAACGATGCTAAGGGCAGAGTAGAGGTACTGTACGATGGATCCTGGGGAACTATCTGTGATGGCGGCTGGGATCTGAGAGACGCGAGGGTGGTTTGTAGAATGCTTGGGTATGATGGAGCCTTGGACGCACCGATATCTGCTAGGTTTGGTCAGGGCTCTGGTCGTATTCTTCTAGCGAATGTCAACTGTAAGGGAATAGAAGACAACCTGGCAGACTGTGCTCATGCAGGTATTGGAGATTATACTTCATGCGGACATGCAAAGGATGCAGGTGTCATTTGTTATTCCGGAGGTAGGTTTCTCTGGTCCATATTCTACAGATAAAAAGTTTTAAGTCGATCTATCAAGACAAAATGGAACCTTAATTCCAAAACATTTTGACTTGATATTATTGATTTTTATTTTGAATAGTTAAGTCAAAAATTCCTACTGCTGGTATATGCAATGTAAATATAGAGCAGATATCCAGTGAAATTCACATTGCGTAGTTTCCCTCTGGAAATATTGCCAATTACTTTCTAACAAAATGATAGAAAAGAATGACAAATGTATTGTTTGACCCCTACAGTACATAGGGAAAACATCGAATCTTTGGCATGTTAACCATTAATTTATTTTCGTTATTACTTCAGGCAAATGATCTGGTTGATTTCCTTATGATTCGCAAAATTTGAAAAATATAAGAGAGAACAAAACTATTTTTCTCTTTAGCCCATCCTCAGCCATTTCAAGTTCGTCTTGTCGGTGGGTCTAACGATGCTGAAGGCAGAGTAGAGGTACTGCATGAAGGATCCTGGGGAACCATCTGTGATTCATGGTGGGATCTGAGAGACGCGAGGGTGGTTTGTAGAATGCTGGGGTTTGATGGAGCCTTGGACGCACCGGGATATGCTAGGTTTGGTCAAGGATCAGGGGACATTCTTCTAGATGATGTCGGGTGTGACGGAACAGAAGATAACCTTGCAGACTGTGCTCATTTAGGGATTCGAGTTCACAACTGTGGACATATTGAAGATGCAGGCACTATTTGTTACTTAGGGAGTAAGTTACCTTCCCGTTTTAAGCTAGTGTGTACAGAAAATGTTTAATATAAAGAAAAAGTGTTTTCTCTGTCGGTAAATGATCTTACATATTTGTCCAACAAATTCCTTTTATCGGGAAGCCAAATTATAGGAGGAACTACTACAGTTTCTGTAAGCTATATATGTATTTAGGTATTATAGTTTATAAGAGTTTTTAAGGCATATAACGTATTAAAGAAATAATTTTTCTTCTTCACATCTGATTTCATTCTACTCAAACATGGACTACTTTTACTTGTACCAATATCATGTTGACTGTTTCGTAGCAATTGAACGCAGTTAAATCCTATCTCTGGATTCTATGTCAAAACCTATTTTCTTCAATTGTTACTCAATCTACACTGTGTTATCTTAGGTGTCTTTGGTCCGTATTCTACAGAGAAAGGTTTTGAGTAGATCTATAAAGACTAAATAGAGCAGTTATTCTAAAACACTCACTTTGATATTAATCGCTTTTTATTTCGAATAGTAAACTCGACTGCTGTTATTTTTTTTCCCGACAGTGGAATAGGAAAACTCTTACTGCTGACATACGAAGTTTTAATTTCGACTAGATCTCCAGTGAAATAACATTGAAGTTGCTGCTTAGTTTTTTTCCTAGGGATATATTAGCGATTTCTTTCAAATGAAATGATAGAGAAGAATGACAACTATGTTTTATATTTGTTTCACCCCAACGGTACATAAAGAAAACATCGAAGTGTTTAGGCTTATTTCACAAACATTCAACAAATTTGAAAAAGGTAAAATAGAACAAAACAATTTTCTCCTCAGCCCATCCTCAGCCATTTCAAGTTCGACTTGCCAATGGGTCTAACGATGCTGAAGGCAGAGTTGAGGTCATGCATGAAGGATCCCGGGGAACTGTTTGTGGTGTTGGCTGGGATCTGAGAGACGCGAGGGTGGTCTGCAGAATGCTAGGATTTGATGGAGCCTTAGACGCACCGGGATCTGCTAGGTTCGGTCGGGGCTCTGGCCGTATTCTTCTAGCGAATGTCAACTGTAAGGGAATAGAAGACAACCTGGCAGACTGTGCTCATCCATGGATTGGATATTACTGTGGTCATAGTGGCGATGCCGGCGCCATTTGTTATTTAGGAGGTATATGTTTAAAAAAAAACATATTTTCAATCAATCTCTATGATATGCTTCCAGAATCATTTGCTTAAACATGATATAAATATGAGTGTTGTGGTCAACGCCCAAACCTTAAAGACCAAGGCATTGACTATTGTTTTTGTTATCATTATTAAGTATTTGGCGTCACCTGTGACGCGGGAGTCGAAAAATGAATTGAATCACTGTATTTAACCCTCTGGTAACTCCTCCCGTATAATTGGGGTGTGCAGGTGAACCATTACATCGGTGTGTGCCCCTACTCTTATACGAATAGTGCAGTGGGTTCTTAACGTACAAAGGTGCTAACTCTCCTGTACACTTAGCATACTATCCGAGGAATAGTGTTTTCCAATTAACATTAGACGCCTCTACTTGCTCCTGCCCATCACACATCTAAATATCTTATTTCTAGTATGGTTAACAGTATTTGTATGCGTTGTTTGTAATGATCCACTCTTGAAATCGCTTGAAAATCGTGATAAATGATTGTGATTACAGTTAGAAAAGAAAATACACACACAAATACACATAATTAATGCCGGCATACACAGCGCAGCCATGCGGGAACTTAAACCAGAAGCGACTTTGTCACCGAACTATCCCAGAGTGTATTTGAAATGGTGAAGGAACGTAACATACGGGAATTTTTTTAAATATATTAAATTAGCGATAGCAAGAATAACGCTTTTGTTTACCCTGTCATAGCGACTGAACGTAGCTAAATCATCATATCTTTTGATTGTATGCCCAAACCTTGTTTTTCTTTAATTCTTACTGCACAGTCTGCGAAGTGATATTTTTTCAGCCTTCTAAATATTGATTGTGTCGATATGATAACATGGGCTCCTTAGACAATTTGAATTCGAATTCGTATTTATTGATTATTCTGTCATACGACATGAATTTTGTTCAATTGGTTGAACCATAAACAGCAGAATTATACATAACAAAGAAGTGTAAGGAAGTGTATAATGACATTTTTTAATAAACATTATAAGATCACCAAACGGAAGAAAATACCAAAGACGTTTTGAGGAAGTTGAAGAAACCAATGTGTGTCATAAAATAGTACAGGTAAAGGTAAATTCCACTTATTGACTCTTATACGTGAACAAAAAAGGAATTTATATTTTCTTCAGATCACAGCCTACCTCAGAACTGTACCCAATTTCGTCATCAGTTAAAAGGATAGTTGACCTTTGTTGCAGAGGGCGCTACAACAAATATATGTTTGTGAGATAATGAAAAACTGAGTATGAAATTTGAAAGAATATACAACTTAAATGATCAAAATCGGTTCAAGGACGGCTGAAATATCCATAAATATAACAATTTCTAATATTTGTGGTGTTATACAAATATTCAGTAATTTTGAACCAGCCATTGTAAAAACTTGATTAGAGCCTTAAACGTTTTATTCCAGCCAATGCCAATCTTGGCTTTTTGTTGGCTGTTTCGTGTTTGTTATAATAAGCAGAACCAGCCGGCCCGTGTATTGTTATAAATTAGTTAATTTATTAGTTGACTGTCATCGTATTTTTTTGGAAAGTGGAGATGGATTGGTATGAATGTATTCAATCTAAATTCACACATTTTGGGGTCTAAAATTACCTTCATAGCAATTGTAGGTTTTAAAAGGGCACTATAAATATCATAAATAACAATAAGAGCAATAACCATGCACTTTGAAGGCATTTGCGGTCTTAAACAAGAACTCAATTATCCCTTTAACTAACCTGATATCACAGTTTCATCAGCATATTTTAGAATGCTACATATAGATGTCGAGCAAAGAATCAATGGTAACAGACAAATAGCTAGTTCATTTTTCAGCTGCCAAAAAGTTTGTATTCGCCGTTAATATTCTTAAAACTTAATGAAGCTACTATCATGCAATTGCTGTCTTGTAGCCCATCCGAATCCATTTCAAATTCGTCTTGCCAATGGATCGAATGATGCTGAAGGAAGAGTAGAGGTACTGTACGATGGATCCTGGGGAACTATATGTAATTCATGGTGGGATCTGAGAGACGCGAGGGTGGTTTGTAGAATGCTGGGATTTGATGGAGCCTTGGACGCACCGAGATCTGCTAGGTTTGGTCAAGGCTCTGGTCGTGTTCTTCTTTCCTATGTCGGGTGTGATGGAACTGAAGACAACCTAGCAGACTGTGCTCATGCAGGGATTGAACGTTACCTATGCAGACAAACAAGGGATGCAGGAGCCATTTGCTACTCAGGAAGTATGTTTTCTCTGCATTTTAACCTATAGTAATCCAACTACCCGACAGTGATTTTTTGAGTGCTTATTGGATGAGCACGAGCGCCGGAAGAGTTAGTTATTAGTGACTTAAAAGTCTCCAATAACCTCTTGAACAAAGAATTTCGATGTACAAACAAAAACATTTTGGAACCAAGAAGAAGCCAACTCTTTCATAAAATAGAAAAATTAACATACTGGACAATTTGCTTGTACTTGGACGTTTTTTTTTGTATGGGGACAAGTATTGTTCTAACTGATTATACATGATAAGATTCAAATAAGTTTCCCCAAAAAGTATATTCATTTTGTTTTAAAGACGGTTTTGCATGGGAAGCAACGACATACAAAGCATAATCATTTCCCTTATTCTACACATGTATATATTAAGCTGAAAATGCGAATTTCCCTCTCATCATCTACGACCCTCACTGAAATTGAGGTCAATTGTATTGTAGTATTTATAGGATATACAAATGGAATTGCAGATTATTTTTAAGTGCCCTCATTTTTGTTATCGAACGTGGTTTGAAATTTGTGGTGATATCATCTCAAACAAGCGTGTATTTCGTTCTTCTCTAATAGTCCATCCAAAACCATTTCAAGTTCGTCTTGTCGGTGGGTCTAACGATGCTGAGGGCAGAGTAGAACTCAATCACAATGGATCCTGGGGAACTATCTGTGACTATTTATGGGATTTGAGGGACGCGAGGGTGGTTTGCAGAATGGCAGGTTTTGATGGAGCCTTGGACGCACCTGGATCTGCACGGTTTGGTCAGGGATCTGGTCGTATTCTACTAAAGTATGTCACTTGTGACGGAAATGAAGAAAACCTAGTTGACTGTGCTCACGCAGGGATTGAACGTTACTCATGCAGTCATACAAGGGATTCAGGAGTCATTTGCTACTCTGGAAGTATGTTTTCTCTCTATTTTAACCTTGCTGGTAGTCCATCTACCCGACTATACATTTCCTTGAGTGCTTATTGAATGAGCAAGAACGTCAGCTCAGTTATTTATTAGTGACTTTCATAATCTCCATTTACCTCTTAAACCGTAAATTTCGATATATTACCAAGAAACTTTTGGTTTCAAGAAGCCCACTCTGGCAATAATATAAAAATAAACATACTGACCAATTAACTTGTATTTAGACGTTCTTTTCTTCACGGGGGCAAGTATTTATCTACCAGAATATCCATGATAATGTTCAATTAAGTTTCCCCCAAAACTGTATTTTTATTTCGTTTTAACGACGGTTTTGCATGAGAAGCAAAGACATCAAAAGCATAATAATTTCCATTATTCCACACATGGATATATCAAGCCGAAAATGCGATTTTCCATCTCATCATCTGTGGCCCTCACTGAGATTGGGGATAATTGTTCGTTAGTACTTATAGGATATACAAAATGCAAACAATGGTAAAATATTTGTAAGTGCCCTCATAATTTTGTTATCGATCGTGAAATGTTTGGTGATATCATCTCAAACAAGCATGTATTACGTTCTTCTCTAATAGTCCATCCAAAACCATTTCAAGTTCGTCTTGTCGGTGGGTCTAACGATGCTGAGGGCAGAGTAGAACTCAAGCACAATGGATCCTGGGGAACTATCTGCGACGATTTATGGGATTTGAGGGACGCGAGGGTGGTTTGCAAAATGGGAGGGTTTGATGGAGCCTTGGACGCACCGAGATCTGCACGGTTTGGTCAGGGCTCTGGTCGTAGTCTGCTAAAGTATGTCAATTGTGACGGAACTGAAGACAACCTAGCAGACTGTGCTCATGCAGGGATTGGACGTTACATATGTAGTCATACGAGGGATGCAGGCGCTGTTTGTTATTCGGGAGGTAGGTGTTCTGTTTAAAAAAATGTTTGTATAGAATAGCCATTTGAATAAATAATTCTTACTTATTCGCTTGCATATACACCTGCATGTATATCTTGCATTTCCCTAATTCAGTAATTGAGGTTGAACGCACGAAACTGAATTCTGCACACAAGCGAGAATTATAACTTTTCTCACTCCAACGTCTCACCTCAATTTTGTTGTTATAATAGCGGATTGCTCTTCTCTAGATATTTCTGGTCATGTGAGGTGCTCCTAACCAATCTATGTACTGGATTTTTATAAAGAGGGGTTCATGATTACATTTCCTTGTAAGAGTATGTACTTTTAATCTGATAAACCTATTCTGCTTTTCATCCTGACCACTCATTAAACATAACAGAGCCATTTCAAGTTCGTCTTACCAATGGAACTACCGATTCAGAAGGCAGAGTGAAGGTTTTGTATAAGGGAAGCTGGGGAACTATTTGTGATGATAACTGGGATCTAAGAGACGCAAGAGTAGTTTGTAAAATGCTAGAATTTGACGGAGCTCTAGCTGCACCTGGTAGTGCTAGGTTTGGTGCCGGAAGCGGTGAAATCTTGTTTGATGACGTTGGATGCAAGGGCACAGAAGATGCACTTGCTGAGTGCTACCATCGAGGGCTTGGAATCAACAACTGTGAACATGATAGGGACGCTGGTGTCATTTGTTTTACAGGAGGTAGGTTAATAGGATTATATATATATTAGTTCTCGAAGGCTTTGAAAATCTAAAATTTTTACAACGGTTGTTACAATTGTCAACCTCATGGTCTTCTTCGTGTTGGTCTTGCTGTTTTCACGTGACCAATGGGGTGTTTTAAGTTTTAAGTCCCGTTTGTCCTATGTCCTTCTACAGGGGACGATGATAACGTATAGTTTGACTTGAGAACAGCTGACAATAGGGGCATTTACATATACATTAAGTAATGGAACGTTATTACCAATTATCGTTTTGTCTAAAAATCCTTTATTGCCAATTGAAAACATGATTTTAAGATCTTTAGGAATTTAGCATTTACTAGCTATTGTTGGCTCCTTTACAGAGAGAAGTCCGAAATCAACTGATTGCATACATACATTTTTTTAAAATTCCTCCAACCCCCCCTCCCCCACAGCACCATTTCTAGTTAAGCTCGTTAACGGATCTACCGACCTTGAAGGACGAGTAGAGGTCTTGTATGATGGTTTTTGGGGAACCGTTTGTGATCATGAGTGGGATCTAAGAGACGCAAGGGTCGTGTGTAAAATGCTGGGGTTTGATGGAGCCTTAACCGCACCAGGCTCTGCTGCGTTTGGCCAAGGTTCAGGAGATATACTACTTGATGATATATCCTGTGAAAGTACACACGATAACCTGGCAGACTGTTATCATCGAGGGATTGGCGTCTCCGATTGCAAACACGAAGAGGATTCCGGAGCCATTTGTTTCAGAGGAGGTATGGGATGATACTTGTAGTCTAACATAATCACAACTCCAAATTCCGATTTTTAAAGAATATGATTAAACACAAATCTATCTTTCTTCTATCTGTTTGTAGTTCATTAGTATACCCGTACACCCATGCACTTGTGACATGATCGCATAGACAGTAAAACAATGGCCGATGCATTACGTAATAAACAAAAAGTATACAATAGGGTATTGACACTGCTCTTGAGTTGATGTCTGAGAAGACCTACCGATCACGTTTCTTCTACTTTCCACAAACACATTTTCCTCTCCTGATACTTAAAATTGCTATTTCATCTGATATTTGTAAAACTTCACAGACCCATTCAAGGTTCGTCTCACCGATGGAGCGAATGATTCAGAGGGTAGAGTAGAGGTGATGTACAATGGATCATGGGGAACTGTCTGTGACAATGGCTGGGATACGAACGACGCGAGAGTTGTTTGCAGAATGTTGGGGTTTGATGGAGCTTTGGCAGCAACAGTTTCTGCACGGTTTGGTCAGGGCAATGGCAATATTCTGCTTAGTGATGTTCAGTGTTACGGAACAGAAAAGAACATAGCAGATTGTTATCACAGAGGAATAAGAGTTCATAACTGTACCCATGCCAGTGATTCGGGTGCGATTTGTTTCTCAGGAGGTATGATTCTGTTCCATAGTACAGTAGAGTTTTTCATGTAAATAAGTTTAGCTTTCTCGCCAAAAGTTGCAAAAGAACGATGTACATCTTTTTGATATATTGTTTTTCAAACATTGTGAAACAAAAAAAAAGGAAAAAGTAAAGTTGTACAAAAAAGTATTTATCAACTTTGAAACATACCTGTATGAATTCCGGCAGGATAAAAGAACGTAGGCACACCTTTACCTACTAAATAACGTTGACGTTTAAAAGTGCTTGCAAAAAAGCTTACTCAGAGGGAATCTTGTTGTATTTCAATCTGTTAAAAATATACGGTTATTACCTTTCTAGTTCGTCTGATCGGTGGAACTAATGACGCTGAAGGTAGAGTAGAGATTCTACACGATGGATCATGGGGGACTGTCTGCGACGATTCGTGGGATCTCAAGGACGCCGAGGTTGTTTGCAGAATGTTAAGCTTTGAAGGAGCTTTGGACGCTCCACTTGGAGCTCGATTTGGTAAAGGATCTGGGAGCATCTTTCTTGATGAAGTTCAGTGCCACGGGACAGAAACTGACATTGAACGTTGCGATCATGACGGCATTGGTATAAACAACTGCGCCCACAACGAGGATGCCAGCGTTATTTGCATCCAAAAAGGTATGGTATACTACATCATAAATGTAGTTCTCGGTATCAAGTGAAACATTTACGACAACGAATTAACAAATTGTGTTCATGTGTATCGTGAAGTATTTACCACGAGTTGCAAAGGTAAATGATAGGTTTTTAAAGTTGCTGACTTTACCACTACGGTGGATTTTTTTGTGTTGTTTTGCAAAAATGGTTGAAAACAAATTTCGGGGCTGAATTTTACAGTATTGCGTTCCTGTTGTGGAGAAGATTTTGGAAGTCCAGCTCCTTAAATCCATTTTCATTCAAACTTTGCTTTATATTCGTGTTCCGATCCTCATTTAGATCGCACGACGCAATCTGAAATCGGTGAAACAAGCAGAACAATAACAACACATGAATCTGGTCCAACACCAACCTCGGAAAGCCCTCTACAAAATCTACAAGTGACAATTGTTACCGGGATTTGCATACTGCTTTCGATCATCTTCATCGGGGTAACACTTGCATATTGTGTACGTAGGGCCATCAAGTCAAGGGCAAGACGGAACTTAGAAAATGATATTTACATGGATTTTAACGACACAGGAATAAACCAGGACACGTTTGTAGCCTCTACATATCAGGATTTAAATGCTCCTCCCAAACTCCCAGAGCGACGCTTAACGAGGTTGAGTAAAGGTAGTACGATCATAGAGTCCTGTCAGAACCAGCGGTTTTATACGGTTGAGGAGCAGATTTTGGCACAACAGCCAAGAATTAGTGACAACACCCACGACTATATGGACATGACTCCTATGAACAAGACAGCTTCAACGAACAAGGATGCACATATTTATGCTTATAGCCTCCGCGTTGGAAATAAAGACACAGATACGTTACCACATGATAATACAGCGACAGTATCCAGAGCAATCTGCCATGATGAAACGTGTGAGCCGGTAGATACTGTGCAAATCAAGGGACAAAATAATCTACACAAGTATATGGTTATGAATACTGTATACAAACAACTTACAATGGGAAAGGATGTAGATCTTGACGGATATCTCCTCCCAAGTAAAACTGAAAGTGGAAAAAAAGAGCCGCTAGATAACGCACAAACTACTAAACGAACTGACACCCATGAATATATAGATATGACGAATAATAACAAACAGCTTTTGGAGGGAAGCGATGTAGACCTTGACGGTTATATTTTGCCAAGTAAATCTGGTTTAAATTCCGAAGATAAACCGAATGTTGAAAATGCAGAACAGAGTTGTTTGTCTCAAAACGATAGAGATATATTTCTCACCAGTGTTTGTGAAAGGAGTAGCTCACATCAACAGACTCCTACACTGCAACATGAATGTACGAAACACGATTCAATTCACAAGCACATGGACGTAAAGACTATTTCCAAACGATCCTCAACGCTTGAAGATGAAGACAAAGATGGATATCTTCTGCCAAGTGCTGCAGGCGACGATAGGATTGAATTACCATGCGATATCATGCAGCATGTTGAAGAAAAGCCTGATAATACGCATGAATTCCTCATGCTGTGTATCGAAGATAGTAATGAGTTTACAGAGGGATCATCAGAAAACAACGATTATGATATTCCAGATTAGGAAGAGATTCAACACATGATTTGGCCGTCACATTGAATATTCACGGACGAAATTAGAGGAAGGGACATTAATCTTCAGAAAGAATATTGCGCAAAATTGGGAAAAAAATTAAAAACATGTTTTTAATAGAAATGTTTGCATGGTTCTATGCATTTAAAGAAGGTGTTTGCCATTTTCTAATAATGGGCCTTATATCCACCTCATATATATATCTATAAAGAGGGAGTTCTTGATTAGTGTTTGATATTTCCTTTATAAAAAAATGATGAAAACGTTTGAAAACATTTCGATGAATATCTTATTTAAAAATGTAAGAATTATAATCTGACAATGATCTGTGATATTATTCATTATTTCTGAAAACCATGTAATGTCATCTTTTGAAATGTGTGCTTCTTTATCTTTTCAAAATTTAGTGTAGAATATTTCTTTTGGAAATAATTTTGGACATCGTACCCTTTCTTTTGGAAATGTTTTGACCTCACTGATGTAAATTTACTCTCAAGTGCTGAGCATAGCATGCAGTCATATTGTCTAATTTTATGCAAATGAATTAGATTATCTCTAGAATAAATTGACCTCATGTGTCAACGTTTCGGTAGATATCCTAATAAGGAAACTCCATCACTAGATTTCTAGTAATTAAATTGTAAATCCTTTTTAAGGCTTAAAAATACTTTTTAAACATTAATTGTTTAAAGATCTATTTCACTGAATAAACGTTTACGAGTTTTAAAGAAATTGACTTCTGCGAATAAAGCTGTGATGAAATTAAACTACTTGTCAATCGGATTGCACGTAGATGATCTCATGCATCAGCGCGCATACAAAAATGGATCTTATTCGACTTAAAAACTTAATCCATTAGACCAGAATTGTGTTTTATGGATTTCAAATTTGAAGTATCTTTATAGTCTTGTTTTAAATAGGAAAGTTTTGTACTCGGATTCTGACTTAAAGAAGTAAATTCCTCGGACTTAAAAACAAGTATAAGAAATTAAGGGGGTCGTTTCTATTCTCATGAATGTGATAGAAATGAATATGTCTTCTAATAGTTTCTCAAGATTAAAGCTTTTACTGTTTGTAGAGGGTGCTTAAGGTAAGTTTCTCGATGTTTTACTTGATATAAATTCAACACTCCTTTAAATTTATTTATTACGGTATCATATTTTATGAAGTGGTGAAAATATATAATTGGTGTTTGCACCCACAAATCTGCATGTATAAAGAAGGATAAATAAGAGAATTATGTCGTGTTTACATTTTGTTCAGTCTTTTATTGTTAGATATACATGATCTTAAAGTGGAAACACTTAAAACAAATGAATGTAGGTAGATGTGTTATTAACACCACCTCATTAAAACAAGGTTTCTTCTCATCAATATATACAAAATGTTCTTTTGACTATTTTTTGAATGATGACAAATTATCACTATTGCCTATTCAACGTTCTTTGCTACACTTTAATATAATATACTTTAAAAATTGCTTTAATGATTTATTTTAACCCCTCAAAAAAATGTGGATACGCCAGTATGATCGATTATATTTCCCTTGACATGGCATAATCATCGCTTTGTTTAGTATCATTAAACAGTATGTTTATCCTTCTTTAAGACCATATGTTATGATTTGTCAGTCATAGCATGTGTGCAGTACATTAAAACAAGGGGCAAGGTCAAAATTGACAAGTTGCAAAATGCACTGTTCTAGTTCGGCTGTACATGCCTCTTTTTGTTAAGAGTGTGGGGCTGCTGTGTTTTCAGATGATATATGTACACGCTGTACTGACACAGACATGCATGAAAAGGAACAAACATGCAGACACTAAAAAGACAATGCCTTGTCATTGAAATAAACTTTCGAAATACACAATTTATTTCATTGCACATGAGTTCATCTCTGGAAGAAAATAAACACGCTGCAACTTTTTTTAAGGAGAACTCCAGCCTCCACTTGTTCGATCTCATATTCCTTTTCAACAAATTGTTTACCCCTAGGGGCATGCGGCTGCGGAAAGTTGACGCCCAAACATTAAAAATTGTTACCCCAAATGTCACACCCTGACCAAAGAGCGTGAATTTCATTTTTAGGTTACTTAACATCTGGCATTCATGAATAATCAGTTGGGAACACACAGCCCCAATCATTTACAAGAATCACCCCTCTTATGTCAAAGAAATAAAGGTGCTGTGCATAACAATAACGGTGCTTACTAATGCATTTTTCAACTTTTCACTTTTGACCCTGCCCCTTATTCTGATGTACTATTCATTTCATGGTATAATAGATTAAAAAACACACTTTTCAAATTAAAACAAAGTAAAGATTATGAAATGAAATAAGAAATATGATCAATCAAAACCGGAGTGTTGGCTCAGTCAGTAGAGCGTCCGCCTCACAACCGGGTGGTCGTGGGTTCGAACCCCGGCCACGTCATACCAAAAGATGTAAAAAGATGGGAGTTGTTGCTACCTTGTTTGGCGTTCAACAATAAGGGATAGAGCAACGTCAATCTGCCGCTGCTCTGTGGCTGCCGGGCTCACGATCAATTGGGAAAAAAGAATTTCCGTTTCGGTTTAATAAAATTTGGAGTGGACTATTAGGCTATTATTAGGTGGTCTGTTATCAACAGACCACCTATTGATTTCGTCAGAATTTTCTTTATTTATTATTTATTTTTATTTCTTCCCGTTTTTTGTGCCCAGGATAACTCACAGTTTGGTTTGGTCAATTTGATTCAATTTTAGCACAGTCATAGGTCATTGTCATTACCTATGACCTTGAAGATTTTCAAGGTCATCAAGTCATCGTGACGTCATCCAGGCGCCATTTTGTGAAATCACATTATCCATCATATCTTCATGATGCATCAGCAAAGGTCATTCATATTCACATCACATATACTTCAGGTCAAGGGTCAACAGGTAATGTCATCAAAGGTCACATAAAGGTCATGACGCGCGCGTACGTGTGCGTCAAAATTTTAAAAAGCTCAAAATTACTTAACTACTAAAGGAGAGTACGAATCAGGTCATTTTAAGCATTTCAAAATTTTCCGTCCGTACATGTCCCCGCGCGCGTTGCGCGCGCTCATGACGCGCGGAAAAGGTCAAATTCAAAATGTTTACATGATTTGGATTCCTCTTAACGTAATTGACAATTAACATTAATTTCAGTCACTCTTCATATTTCATAAGGCCGTGAGCGTGCGTCAAAGTTCAAAATCCGCGCGTACTGCTATGGGCGATATAATGCAAATTTGATCAAAAACATGCCATTTTAAAAATCGAAATAGCTCTTCAGATAGTCCATTGACCCCCAATTTTTATATCATGGTTGGAGAAAGCATGAGTTGTAGATATGATTTCATACCACCCTGACTCGTACAAAGTGAAACAAAGTCATCATATTGGCATCTAAACTCAAACAAATGTTTTTTGTTGATGACGTCATTTTTGTCTTTGTTTAATTGAGATTATCTCACTTATCGGTGATCGATTTTCTCCCAGAATTTAATATGTTGTAGCTGAGATAATTCTCTATCAAAAATATACCATTCATTTTTCATTTCGATGACGTCATCATAGTTAAATATTCCATTAAAGGCGACAATGCATAATTTGTCATATTTACGTGTTATGTCTATTGGAGGTCACTTTTTTCAAAACATGAATCTGCATGACAAGGTGCTTTGACCAGTATCTCGGTTGTTATTCAACAGTTTTCTCCCAAATTTTAGTATGTTGTAGCTGAGACTATTTGCTATTTAAATATTTCCTTATTTTTTCAATCAGATGTCAGGATCATGCTTGTGCTCATCATCATCATTAACATTATCGTTTTTATCATCATATAACATTATCATTATCATCATCATCACCTTTACTATCATGATCATCATCATGGTCATCATGATCATCATTGTTTACATGTCTATATAACTTCTCCCATTCTCAATTCTATCATAAGACTTAGACAGACCACCTTATTCGTCTTCGTGACGAATTAAATTTCTAGTTATAATTATCATTATTATTATTAGTATTATTATTATTCAAAACTTTTTGGTGAGGCCCAAATTCTGGAAGGTAATGCCTTTTGTAAATACAGTTCGTGGAAGTGGAATAAGACAAATCAAAAGAACCCAATGTCATTCTGCACACATGCTGTTTAAATAGAATGAGAAGATCAGTTACGACTAAATTTTTCAAAGACACTTGTAGGTAAAATGTCAAGAGCTACAGCATATAATTCTGTCAAAGCAAATACATCTTGTAACCCTTAACACACTTTACCTACAATAATAGTTTTCTAGCTAGTCGGATTCAACTTTAAAATCAAAATTTTAGATCAATCGTTTGATGCAATTGTGAAATATGTAGGCAGTCTGAATTGGAATGTACCAACTGAAGTAATTCATATACTACAATATAAATGCAATGTTTATCTTTAAAAGTTCGTCGTGTCCACTGTGTTTCATTTTGTTATGACTATGAGTATGCCATTCAAAAGGCAAACATTTGAACATTTGAACTGGAGTATTTCGTCCGGTTTCAAGTCGGAGACATATTATAACCTCATACAAAATTTAAGGTCACCAAGCACAATATACACACGCACAATAAATCTAGGTCCTGGTCTGTAATTATGTAGAAGATTATTCATTTATTTTGTAAATACATATATATTTTTAGCCGTACAAGTGTTCATATAAAATCTTCGTTTAACAAAATGTATAAGTGAATTTGGACATTACAAACTGTTTACTTCTCTCAACGAGAATTCCGCTCAGTCATGTACCTTGTTTGGTGATAAACACGATCCCGATGGGTAACCTGATTATTTTACCCCACTTGATTCGTCGAATATGATTAAGTAAGAGAAGGACATAACCAATTGTCTGTAAACTATTTTTCCAAAAAAAGAAGGATTCGAATGTATTAATGATTCGTTAATATTACATTTTCGACGAATAGTAGACGGTGGTGGATGTTAATATTAGTATTACACTGTCGCTCATAAAAGTGGACTAGTTTTACCACAATTTATGGAATTATTAAAAAAATTATTTAAAAATAATAGATCTTTATAATAGTATACATTCTCAGAATTTATTGAATAATAATTTGCCAATGTGTGTTTTGCGTGAATGCTAAAGCATGTGTATGCTACTATGCTTATTAACTAGGGGACCTATGACCTCAAGTCATAAATGACAGTAATGAGGATTAATGCCCCACAAAAGGACACTAATATTGCACATCGACACGGTTTTGATCCTGGGGCCTCACAGTTACGAGGCCATTGTTTTGTCACTGAACCATGACTGTACGCAGTGGGGGCTAGAGTAGGGGGCAGTTTCCATAAATTAAAACAAAACACAGAAAATGCAATAAATTTTCAATAATTTATTGCATTTTCTCCCGATCCCCAAACATAAAAAAAATCCTCTGGACGGCCATGCATCATGGCTCAAGGCATGGGCACACAGAAGATTTTTTATGTTGGGAATCGGGGGAAAATGCAATAAATTATTGAAAATTTATTGCATTTTCTGTTTTTTTTAAAAAATTTATGGAAACTGCCCCCTACCCTAGCCCCCGCTGCGTACAGTCATGGTTCAGTGAAAAAGCAATGGCCTCGTAACTATGAGGCCCCAGGATCAAAACCGTGTCGATGTGCTATATTAGTGCCCTTTTGTGGGGCATTAATCCTCATTACTGTCATTTATGACTTAAGGGCATAGGTCCCCTAGTTGATAAGCAGAGTAGCATACACATGCTTTAGCAGTCACGTAAAACACACATTGGCAAATTATTATTCAATAAAATCTGAGAATGTATACTATTATCTAGATCTGTTATTTTTAAATTATTTTTAAAATAATTCCATAAATTGGGATAAAAAAATATTACACCTTAATGAGCGACAGCGTATGATGAATTTAATTTTAATAGGCACGAGACGAAAGTGCATCTGTTATGATTTACATCAGTCTTTTTTAATAAAAAGTAGAAGAGTAATCTTTCCATAATTTATCACATTATATAGTCTGACAGCATAAACTACTTTTGAATCAGGTAACCTCCCCCCTTCCGTGTCACTTGTAAAAAGATCTATCAAAGATATATTTGTTCGAATCATGAACCATTTCCCAACTAATCTACAGTTCAAAAAAGCTGAAACAGCAAAACTTTGTCTTTCTGTAAGCTGCTTATGGTATATTCCGTACACATGGAAAACTAAATTAAAAGTAGGTACTCGAATGTACCAACAACAGACAAAGCACTGTCCCTTTCTTAAGGCGCGGATCCGGGGGGAGGGGGTGAGGGGGGGAGCGGGCCTTGCTTAAAGCACATCAAAATCTTATTCGAAGTAATCTCGATGGCGATCAAATGATGCTGAAGGTAGAGTAGAGGTGCTGTACGATGGATCCTGGGGAACTATAGGTCTGCTAGGTTTGGTCAGGGCTCTGGTCGTATTTTTCTCAATTGGGTCGCGTGTGTTGGAACAGAAGACAACCTAGCAGACTGTAGTCATCGAGGAGTTGGAGACTTTAGTTACTGTGGACATGCGAGGGACGCTGGAGCCATATGTTATTCAGGGGGTATGTTTCCATTTCAGAAGAATGTTAATTTTTGGGTTCTAACAATAATTCTAATACAACAAAAGTTTAAAGACTCTCTTATGCTCCACTGAGATTAAAGGTACTATTTCTCTTTTCAGGCCAAAAAAATGAACAAGTTTAATTAAAACGGCATTTGAAAGACAATACTAGTTTAGAACTTCCCTCAAAACGAAAGGGCTTACAAATGTTTTTTTTTAGTGGGAAAATAATGACTAGTAGTTGTCGAATCGACTTAAGTGATTGCAATCACCTAAGTAATAGTCTGATTTTCAGACCCTTTTACCGAATAGGTGTATACTTTTTGTCCTGCACAAAGATTCAATCAGTGTAATTTTGGCCATTAAAAGTACTGGGTTATTTTTGTAAACACATGCCCATGTACCTGTTACAGCTTATGTTATGTATATATGTTATTACGAAAGAAATAAAGATTTCATTCATTCAATTAATGGTGTATTATGGGTCTGTAAACGGGTTTCCTTACATGACTTGAATACTAGGACACTGCTAATGTTTACATTTCACACATAGGACATACATGACATATTCATAATTTCTGCAAAGTTCTATTGAATTTGATGTTGGCAGCAAAAAGGGCATTGTATCTTTAAGGGATTTTTTTAAAAAACGTTTCTTTATTGTAAGCAATGATGATGTTTACTGCCGTTAAGCCTTTTTGAAAATAATTTAGTACAAATCCCGCGCCGAATCTTTTTTTTTATGCCCAACAACCATTTCATTAAAAAAAAAACTTTATCCAACTGTTTGATACGTAGTTTCTTAGATTAACTTATTTCCTAATCTAAACTGACAAAAATCAACGAACAAGAGACAGAAAAAGTTAATTCACGATCATAACTTATATTTACTTTTGTCATGTTTCTAAAAAGTCCTTGCATAATTCGTTTAACCCAACTACCACTGTTTTAAAGACATATTTGCTGTTATAAAACTGTATCATACGCATAATTCTGAGTTTCCTCGATCAACTCTCTCTCTCTCGTGTTATTTGAAAAGAAAAAGAATAAACGAACGAGTGATGGAATATAATAAATAATAGCTTGACTTAATTTTACTTTGTCATGCCTGTTTTATTCCACTTTTTATATTCCAAATCAATATGTAACGCTGTGGATATTAAGTAAACAGCTTCGACTCGAAATTATCTATATCTAATTAAAAAGATAAAGAACTGTTCCAACCTGAAAAGGGGTGTTTTAAAATCCAGTTAATACATGGCTGCAGAGTATTTCTCGTTACAGTAAAACTACGCTGTAGTACTCTCTTCGTGGTCAATATCTACATTTTTGTCAAAACTCTTTTGCAGTTTTATCGAGGATTGTGGGATTAAAGAAGCCTCACATGACTTTTAACCAAACATTCTACAAATGTCACTTGGCAAAACTTGTCATATATTTCTAGAAAAAAAATCGTTAACCACCTGGTTCTCATCCACAGATCCATTCCAAGTTCGTCTTGTCGGTGGGTCTAACGATGCCTAAGGCAGAGTAGAGGTCATGTACGATGGATCCTGGGGAACTATCTGTGATGGTGACTGGGATCTGAGGGACGCGAGGGTGGTTTGTAGAATGCTGGGGTTTGATGGAGCCTTGGACGCACCGAGATCTGCTAGGTTTGGTCAGGGCTCTGGGCGTATTCTTTTCAATTGGGTCACGTGTGGTGGAACAGAAGACCAATTAGCAGACTGTGGTCATCAAGGAATAGGAGACTTTAGTTCCTGTGGTCATGCGAGGGACGCTGGAGCTATATGTTATTCAGAGGGTAGGTTTCCATTTCAGACGAATGTTAATTTTCGGGTTTAAACAATAATTCCATTACAAAAGAAGTTTTAAAGATTCTCTTATTGCCCACCGATATTAATAGATTAAAAAAAAACGTTTCTTTAATGATTTATAAGCAATGATGATGTTAACTGCCGTCAAACCATTTGAAAAAGATTTAGTACAAATTCCGTTCCAAATCTTTTGTAAACCCAACAACCATTTCGGATTTTTTTAAAAAACATTATAAAACGGTTTTATACGCAAAAATCTGAGTTTCTTCGACTAACTTATTTTTTTCTATTATGAAGAAAAAAAAAACAACGAGAGAAAGAAAAAAGTTAGTTCACGGTCTTAACTTATATTTACTTTTGTCACGTTTCTAAAAAGCCCGTGCACAATTTTTTAAATACAAAACTACCATTTTTTTTTAGATGTATTTTCTGTTATAAAACTGTATCATTCGCACAAATCTGAGTTTCTTCGATCAACTCTCTTTTTCTTGCAAACTAACAAAGAAAAAAAAAAGATAAACCAACGACAGATTGAAAATAATAAGTAAGAGCTTGACTTATATTATATTTTGCCATGATTGTTTTATTTAATTTTTATATTCCAAATCAACGCAGTGGATATAAAGTTGACACATAGCTGCAGAGTTTTTCTCTTCACACTACAGTAAACATACGCTATGGAACTATCTTCGTGATCATTATCTACCCTTTTTTTAAGAAACTCTTTTGCAGTTTTATCGAGGATTGTGGGATTAAAACAGCCTCACATGACTTTTAACCAAACATTATACAAATGTCAGTTGGCAAAACTTTTCATATATTTCAACCACCCTGATTCTCCTTCACAGATCCATTCCAAGTTCGTCTTGGCGATGGGTCTAACGATGCTAAGGGCAGAGTAGAGGTACTGTACGATGGATCCTGGGGAACTATCTGTGATGGCGGCTGGGATCTGAGAGACGCGAGGGTGGTTTGTAGAATGCTTGGGTATGATGGAGTCTTGGACGCACCGATATCTGCTAGGTTTGGTCAGGGCTCTGGTCGTATTCTTCTAGCGAATGTCAACTGTAAGGGAATAGAAGACAACCTGGCAGACTGTGCTCATGCAGGTATTGGAGATTATACTTCATGCGGACATGCAAAGGATGCAGGTGTCATTTGTTATTCCGGAGGTAGGTTTCTCTGGTCCATATTCTACAGATAAAAAGTTTTAAGTCGATCTATCAAGACAAAATGGAACCTTAATTCCAAAACATTTTGACTTGATATTATTGATTTTTATTTTGAATAGTTAAGTCAAAAACTCCTACTGCTGGTATATGCAATGTAAATATAGAGCAGATATCCAGTGAAATTCACATTGCGTTGTTTCCCTCTGGAAATATTGCCGATTACTTTTTAACGAAATGATAGAAAAGAATGACAAATGTATTGTTTGACCCCTACAGTACATAGGGAAAACATCGAATCTTTGGCATGTTAACCATTAATTTATTTTCGTTATTACTTCAGGCAAATGATCTGGTTGATTTCCTTATGATTCGCAAAATTTGAAAAATATAAGAGAGAACAAAACTACTTTTCTCTTTAGCCCATCCTCAGCCATTTCAAGTTCGTCTTGTCGGTGGGTCTAACGATGCTGAAGGCAGAGTAGAGGTACTGCATGAAGGATCCTGGGGAACAATCTGTGATGACTGGTGGGATCTGAGAGACGCGAGGGTGGTTTGTAGAATGCTGGGGTTTGATGGAACCTTGGAAGCCAAGGGATCTGCTAGGTTTGGTCAAGGATCAGGGGACATTCTTCTAGATGATGTTGGGTGTGACGGAACAGAAGATAACCTTGCAGACTGTGCACATTTAGGGATTCGAGTTCACAACTGTGGACATGGTGAAGATGCAGGCACTATTTGTTACTCAGGAAGTAAGTTTCCTCTTCGTTTTAAGCTAGTGTGTAAAGAAAATATTTTAGAAAAAAATGGATTTAATCTGTAGCTTATTGATTTTTCATATTTTTCCAACAAAATTCCTTTATCAGGAATTCAAATAATAGGAGGAATTATAATAGTTGCTCTAAACCGTAAATGTACTTAATTAGTATTGTAAATATGAGTTTTTTAAATATTTTAATGTTGATTCTGTATTTAAGAAATTAGTTTTTTTTCTTGACATTAACAGATTTAATTATAGTCACATAAATCAATTACTTTTTCATGTCCCAATATCAAATTCTAATTTATTTTTGTACTGTTTCATAGCAAATGAACACAAGACCTCGGAATGAATAACTTTGTCGCTTACTATGACGATGACTGTTTTAACAAGAATTTTAAAGGGAAAATACTTGGTAATATTTGAGACACTTAGGAAAACGATGAGCGTTGTCGTTGTTCTTTACTAACAAATTCTCAATTCTTTATTCTCTTTCAGAATCTACTAGTACTTCTGAATTCGAGACCACTGATCCTTCTTTGCCAAGCACCACCCTAGAAGGGCTATCGACGGATTTTAAAAGTACATCTCTGTATTCAAATACTCCAAACATGTTTGGAAATTTCAGTCCAGATGAACCTGAAAATGTACAATCTAATGAAGTCCCACACAATCTTGTCCTATTGCTTGTAATAAGTATTCCCGTTTCGAGCATTATTCTTATCGCAGCCTTCGTTTATTGCCTATGTCGATCCCGGAAGAGAATGGCTAAAAAGAATCTTGATACAACTGTATACATGGATTTGATGCATTCTAGGTCTTTAGACCTTCAGAACGTAGACTCAATCTATCAGGATATTAATTCCCCACCTAAATTATCAGAACGCTTGTCAGCTGTTGTATCATCTCGGAAACAAAAATCGCAGGTGGCCTTGACAGTGAATAAAAATACAACAGGTGAGCAGGTGCACATCAGGGGCGACAGCGGACAAAATGCAACCCATGAATACATGGACATGAATACTATCCGTGAAAGACTTCCTAGTTCTAAAGATGAAGACATTGATGGTTATCTTTTACCAACTGCTACAACTCCGGAACCAAGAGTATACATGGAAATAGGAACGACAACTGCAGATGAAGTAGGTTCTGACAATGAGATAAGAATGTCAAGAGCAAGACACAGCAATAAACAAGATGCGATTCATAAATACATGGACATGAAGCCTATTGGTAAAATACCCACGACTGGCACAGACGTAGATCTTGATGGTTACCTACTTACATCTTCCACAGCTTTGAGGTCTGAATTTACTCCCATGGTAGCTACGAGAGCTGCATGTGTATCAGGTTCTTGCAACGACAAAAGAATGACAAGAACAAGGCATAGCGATAAACAAGAGGCAATTCATAAAGACATGCACATGAAGCATGCAAATCAAAAGTCCCCAACAGACAAAGACACATATCTTGATGGCTTTCTTCCAAATAGGAGGGCAACGAAATCTGGATCAAAGTCTGAATTTCGCATGATGTCGCGAATGAATACTATTAATCAAACGCCTCCAATTGACACACACAGAGACATTGACGGTTATCTTCTTCCAACTTCAACAGCTTCAAAGTCTGAATTTACATCAACAACAGTATCGACGGCTGCCAATGTAACAGAGAATGACGTCAAAATGACGAGAGCAACACACACCAATATACAAGATATAGATCATAAGTACATGGACATAGACGTTGTTTATCAAAAACCTTCATCCGGTTTGGACTTTGATGTTGACTGTTATCTTCTTCCTAGTGTGACATCAGTAGACGCCGACAAAGATGTAAATAACTATCTTCTCCCAAGCGTTACACCCTCCAAAACCGAAGTGACCCCGAATTTGAGAGCTATATCAACTTGTTTACCCGATATTGACAATAAAGGAAGTTTGAAAGGGACACTACAATCCAGCGGACAAGGTGGATATCATGAATACATGGACATCAAGTCTGTTTATCAAGAGCCCCCAGGAGTTACAGACATGGACACTGATGGGTATCTTCTGTCTGGCGTTACAGGTTTAGGAAACGAAATCTCTTTGAATGTAACTAATGTCCAACGGTGTTACAAGAAAGCAAGTGTCAGCAGAGAACCGAAACATACTCGAGGAAATTACCCTCACGAGTATATGGATATCAACTCAGATACGGATGTAGGCATAGTCATGGATCCATCTGTAACTCAAGGATCCCGCACAAACTGTCCATATGCGAAAGATGTAGGACATGCCTTCGTAACAAAAGGCAGTACAGCTACTGAGCTGCATGAATACATGGACATGACAACTGTTTATGAAGAGCCTTCTGCAGATAAAGACAATTATCCTGACTTTAATCATGATTCTACAATCTCAACACACCAGGCTAGAGTTCAGACGAATGCTAAAATGGCAGTAACTGGCGTCTCACTTGGTGATGACAAAGTCAAAGTGGCAAGGTCATCGCCAGATATGCAATACGATATTATTCCTGATTACACCAACATCACAACTGCTTAAGACTTGGTCAGATATCGCGCGGTAAACCGATGCAAAATTGAAGTACCTTCAGTTCTTATGGTATTGCACTTTGCGTCTACATTACAAAAAACGTCGCGGTTTTTTCACGTCATATCTGAACGTGCCTTTGAAAAGAAAGCCACATCAATGAGGGACATAGTTCTTGATATTAGACTTTCTTTTAGATACCAAACATTAAATATAACGTTGAGTTCTGGTCACGCGATTGCATTGAGAAAGAAACGTTGTGAATTCGATCGGAAAAAGGTTGATCATCTAGCATATATGTATTGGTGTGTACTGCAAGGTTCTGGAATCTTCAAAATGATAAGAAATTTTGCCCAGTCTTGGTAAAATTACAAGCACTGTACACAGAAAGATGTATATGGGACTACACGAACATGTGGCGTAAAATTCCGTTCCGATTTTATAATGCTACATGCTATATTTAGAATATTAAGGCATTTGAAGAGCCATGCTTTTCAGGGAACATTCTTAATCTGATGTCCTTCCACACTTGCATAATACAATGATATAAACGCTCACAAAATACTTGTCACCTCTTCCCAGAACTCAACCTTCTCCTTAAGAACTTTGAAAATGATTACGTCCAAACTCGAATGTTGGATGGACATTCATATGAGATGAAATTTAAATGGACGAGGATCATTGAGAAGTTTACATAGAAATTATGGAACTTTAGAAGAACACTCACAAAAGATAGACAAGATAGATGTATTCTGAAAATATGGATGATCGGATACTGATGTAGTGATGCACTCAATATGATACACACAACGAAGTGTTATTTTTCACTTAACAATGTAAATATGCTGAACATTCTGTTAGAAATTACGTTAGTCCAATGAAATTACTATCGTCAGACTGTTACTTTATTGTAACGCCTATATGTTAATTGCTGATAATATCGAATTGAATAATTTGATCATTTCGAGACGGCACTTAAAAGGTGCGATGTATAATCATCACCAGCTGCTCTACGAGGTTATGGTCGGAAATGGAGCGGTCCACTTCGATACGAAATAGATATGTATTATTTTAACTTATCGATTTTCATTTTTTTTCTTCAATTTCTGTCCCACAATCAATTTATTATTTCGGCATGTAAACAAAATAAACAATGCATGGAAATACACCAACTATGTTATAGGTGCTCAATCGGATGAAAGTGTAATTTTTGGTCAAACTATTTGGTATACTCATTATCCCCAAATAAATGAAAAAGGGTAGTATTTGTGAGTGGGTATGTGTTTGCGTGTGTATTGTGTGTTTATGTGTTGGGAGGGTGCATGAGCGTGTGTATATTTTTTGTGTGCGTGGGTAGGAGGGTGAATGTGTGTGTGTGTGTGTGTCCGCGCGCACGCGATGTTAACATATATGCTCACCTTCGTTAAATCATTCCTGGCGTTCTCCCGATGTAAACATTAGTAATACTCACTCGATTGTGGGTGAAGAGATTAATGATCGCGAATTGGCAATTTTTTTTGTCCCTATAAAGGACCCTTGTTTTCTCTCAAATGTTTTCAGAGTATAGAGCATGTAACAGTGATACCATTGTGAATGATATTCTGTCTACATTGCTTCTTCCCTAGAAGGGATTAGATGGATACCTGATGGGATAATTGTTATGCTGGAGCTAGAGATAAAACCGTTATCACTGCGCACTAAATAATTTCATGCCCGGTTTTGTATACCTTAAATAGATCTGTAAACATTTTATGAATCTTAATAAATAATTATATCATATAGATTCAATTCATATAGGTATGTAGGGCTGAAGACATTCAAGTACTTAGTTAAAGACATCACCTGGAAAAGGGATGTAAAAGAAAAACTGTTTTATAGCCTCCATGATATTATATGCAAGATAAGTCCAAAACTGCAGCCTTGTATTAAAGTGTACTAAAAAATAGACTATGTTACTTTTATAAACTTCATCGAGATATTGACTATTTATCTTGATCAGTAACCGATGAATAATCGATAATATAATGATTAGTAGATAATATATGAATAAAAGCACGATACTATACTCAACAACGAATCTCCTGACTGTCCCTACCACATCAACCCAAACATATGGTTCTCGTGTCTTTTCAACGGCAGCGCCTGTTGTCAAGATTTTTCAAAGATACAACAAAATAGCCAAGAAGACTCTGATAAATGAGTTTTAAAGACTGTTTAATGAAACTAAATCAGCATCTAAATTCAACAGTGTGTTCTCTTGATTACAGTTGAACGATTTAACTTTGACGTCAAATACACATCTTTATTCATAGAAATCTGTTGTTACACAAATATGTAAATATACGTGCTGTCAATTAATTACTCCATTAACACCGAGTGGAGTCCCATCTTAAGTTAACTTCCCGTTTTACGTTCAGTAATTATCTGAAGTTATCATAAGTGTCCGAAATTAGGACAATTGTCCGAATTACGCGAAAGGCCTTTTGTTTGGTTTTTGTGAATAGTTGTTGCTATATCAGAAGATCAAATACCGACATGGTTTCTACGACGATTCGATGCTTGGAGACTTGTGAAGGTTGATGTCCCGTAATCACTCATTACGGCAATCGGTCATGTGACGTTGTCTTCAAGATCCCGGATGTAATGACTCAGCGATTCTTGAATGCTAATTAGACGAAGCTCAGCGTGCCACTAGTTTTGTAGTTTAGAACGTTCTTGTCCCTCGTTACACGGCTATAAATGAAATTATCAATATATCCTTCAAAATACATATTTAATTTATACGTTTTCAACACTTATTTCTATTAATTATTTTCGAATAAACCAAACGATGGAATAATAAAGATTACTTCACCAGACTTTCTTTATCCGGTTATAACAAAACCAACATGGTTTCTTTCCACTACACTTTCTTTTCATTATTAACTAGGGTCACCAATATAACTGACCCGGGCAAAAAGTAAGATTTAATTGCTATATCAGAAGATCCAATACCGACATGGTTTCTACCCTGGAGACTTGTGTCGGAAGGATGATGACCCATAAAATTAATTAATCATTATAAGAATTTCGTTATGTCAACAAAAATTCGTTAGAGAAATTAAGTCATTTCTAGCACAACTATTTCAATAATAATTTGTTTCTCAACATTACTACTAGGTTGTTATGCGTTAATTCATTAACACAAAATAAAATGTTTTTTTACATATAATTTCAGAATTTATGCATGAAGTGTTAAAGCATTTATATTAATAAACGTATAATTATCCCTATCGAGCGACACTCAGGAGAACGATAGTTCATGAACGGCCTTTTCGTCACGTGTTCGTGAATAATTACTTTTGATACACATACGAGCTAATTTGCTCTAACGTGGTTCTTCTTGCACACTGTAAATATTTAAATTATCTGAATCTCATTATCACACATAGGTTATGTATAGAAAGCTACTTACAGTTATGTTGACAAGGTTTTGCCAATGGCAGGAAAATTGAGGTTCTGGGCTACATGGAGTATACCTCTCGTACCGGTGTCGCCTGAGGAAAAAGACTGCTTGCGCCGAATACAATATTAAGGCTCTGGTAGCAACTTCCACAACACACATAAGGGTACATGTACAAGACCTCTCACACGTCCAGCTACAACCTCCGTCTTCTAGTCAACTGCACTGATTTAAATCCACACGTACACACTTTAGCATTCTCGGCACCACACCCTAATTTGCATATATTCAGACAAGCGAAATATTTTCTATTACAAACGCCCTCTAATGTCTAGATGACCTTGAAAATAGGAATACGAATAAAATAAGAATAAATTCCCCATTTTACTCTGACACCTGTCTTGTGGAACCAGCTTCCTGACCAGCTTCGAGTTGTTGTGAGCATTGACGGCTTTGGAAGAGCCCTGAAAACCTATTCGTTTTCAAGGCTCTTCTCCTAGAGCTGCTTTGTCCGTTTCTGGTTGGGAGGCTGATTCGGCATGATGAGTGTCTGTCTGTTTGTTGAATTTGTTATATGTAATGTCAATTAATTTTGTAGGTGTAATTATAGGTGCGTTAATTGGTTTACTTTCTCATTAATATTTTTTTGTCATTCTCCTATCTATTTTGTTATTTATTGTTGTTTTAATGTTGTTTATATATTCAAATTTGTTTTGATTGTACAAAACTGTAAAGCGCATAGAGAAATTCACAATTTATTATGCGCTTTATAAATATACTCTATTTTTATATTATTTTTCGTGAAACGACGTATCTTTATTCGAGTTGTATATACATTACCTACAAGCAGGTCGATAACTCCACCCCCTCAACACCATGTCTATATTAATAGAAAGTGGCCCAATTGGAATTTGGCGAACTTTTACGATATTAGTATTTAGTGGCTAGTAATCATGGAAACCTGGTAAATATACAATCGGGAAACAAAGAATGTATTATTTTAAATGATATGAATTTCATTGCCGGGATACAGGAACATTTCAAAGTTGGTATTTCCTTTTGAGATATCAAGTTATTTATACGATTTGGGAACGCCGATCAATCGCATGGAACAAATTTTCAAGTACTGATACTTGCTAAGTCCTCTGGCAAATTTATAGGGAATTAAATGGCTTTAAACGAGAATTATGCTTCTATACAGTATTTAGTTTATCATTTGAAAATGTGATTAAATACAACTTTTTTTTATTAAATGCAATCTTCTACCAAGATGTACGTCTCGTCAAAAGCTCCAACAATGCTAAAGGAAGAGTGGAGGTCTTGTACGGTGGATCGTGGATGACCGTTTGTGATAATTACTGGAATCTGTGGAAAGCAAGGATGGTCTGCAAAATGCTGGGGTTCGACGGAGCTCTGAAAGCACCTGGTTTGGCTAGGTTTGGGCAGGGAACCGGCGATATTATTGGTGTTCAATGTTACGGGACAGAAGAGAGCTTGACGGACTGTCCATACCTGTGGACCACCACTTCCTGTAGGCATAACGAGGATGCGGGTACCGTATGTTATTCAGGGGGTATGAACTCATTTAATATCAAAGAATAATTTTCCAATGGTACTTACAGATGCCATACTATTTAGGACAGAAAAATACAAGAACATTGACATTCTTAATCCAAGTTTTCCCTGTTTCAGGTGATGTCACTTTGATAAAGGAGAAAATAGGGGTTTCGTTCAGAAAAAAACACTTACTATAACATTTTTCATAGTCTTTTTCATGTTTACAAATTCAAAAGAAATATCTGGCGATATAGTAAAATTATGATCAATATTTTTTTTATATCGGCTATTTGTTATAATCCTTCAGAAAGACATTTCCAAATGATTGAGTAGCAAGCACGATCAAACATTTGGAATGATATACGTCACAGCACTATAAAGATACCCTATCGTATTTAAACAGTTAATTTTATTTCTGATTATGTTTGATTTTTGCATATTCTCCGGGACCAAGTAGAGGTTTTAAGTAATATTTTGTCCCTTTTAAAGTTCCTTTAAAACACTTTTTATTCATTCAGCCCATCCGAATCCATTTGAAGTTCGTCTTGTCGGAGGGTCTAATGATGCTGAAGGCAGAGTAGAGATCATGCACGATGGATCCTCGGGAACTATCTGTGATTATTCATGGGACCTGAGAGACGCGAGGGTGGTTTGCAGAATGCTGGGGTTTGATGGAGCCTTGGACGCACCGGGATCTGCTAGGTTTGGTCAGGGCTCTGGTCGTATTCTGCTGGTGTATGTCAATTGTGACGGAAATGAAGACAACCTAGCTGATTGCGCTCATGCAGGGATTGAACGTTACCCATGCGCTCATACAAGGGATGCAGGAGCAATTTGCTACTCAGGAAGTATGTTTCCCTCTCCCGCATAACCAAGTATTTGTAACTGACCATTCTGTTAATTGCATGATTATTAGAAGAACATGAACAACTCGAGATAAGTGACTTAATAATCAATATTTTACAAAATATTTCAACAAATTAAATCGTATCAATCATATTGCGTTCCTTCTTTGGTTATAAACGTGTCATATCAAACTACTTAGATATTGAATGTACTCGATAGCCTCTATCATCACTTTAGATTTGGCTTAATTCATTAAGTAATAGAGAAGAAACAGAGATTATTCATAATCATATGTAAGTCCCTTCTATTTATCCAAATAATCTATTTTCACAATATATATTTATCCTAACGATAATAAAAGAGATAACTAGTCAGGCTTAACATCGCAGCTAATTGTACCTATCTTGCTTTCAAAATAATAGTTCTGGCTCCTCAGCAGTATGTTTCTTCCTTTTGTTTGTTTGTATTTGTTAGTGAGTATCCTTTTGGCTATAAAGGGGTTACGTGACACTCGATATATTGTTATAATGTGCACGACTTTGCAAAATATAACAACCCTTTTAACACGGTATAACGCATACAAAAGAGAATCATCTGCGCACCTCTCTTCCTTGCATATTATACTCCATTGTTTGAGCAGCGCGCATGGCTCGACTCCAAGGGAGCAAGGCAAGAGGTCGCAAATACCCTCAATTTTATATTACAAATACTGCATGCATTCAGTATAACATATAATCACTTAACAATTTTGAATGTACCTCGAGCCAGTATATCTTAACATCAGCCTGCTGCCTCGGTGAAATATAACCTCACTCTGGAAGTTGTAGGTTAACATATTTTGTTGTATTTGAACGCCGGAGCATGGGATATTTCTATATGTGCGCGAGTGTGCAACGTTACCACGCTTCGGGCACTGTATAACGCGTGCTAAAGTTAGTTAGACTGTGCACCTCTCAGCCCTGCTCGTGCCCATTGTTTGCAATATCTTAGCTTGGCGCATGTAAATTGATTGATTGATTTTATTCGTCAAGTATAGTACAATGAATGCATACATAAAGCAAAATGAAACGAGAAGATACATTGACAGGATAACCCATGAAAGCCGGAAAAGGCTTATTTCCAACGGGGTCCTATAAAGTACGTGTACAGTACGGCATGAGAATAAAATATCACAACTAATAACTACTAAAGCCCCCGTCACACCAAACTAGTTCTCACTACGTTCTCGAAAATGTTGCCAAACGGGCTCAAACTGTGTGCGAACGGAGTGGAACGTAATAGCAACCGTTTGCGACCTGTTTAAGAACTTTATGGACGGGCTCGGACTGGACTAATGTCTCTAATACGATCCTAGCTCGTTCATTAACAGTCCACAATACGTCCAACTCGTCTGTACCCGTCCACGGTCAGTTCATATCAAGTTCAGATCGGATAAATTTGATATTTCCAAGTAGTCCAAGCCATTTTCACTAGTTCGGAACTTGTTCTTACTAGTTTATAACCCAATCACCCGTTCAGAGACAGTTCATCTCGTCATCATCTCGATCTTAGTGCGTTCGATCGCGCTTCTATCGTGCTTTGCAATCCCGTCCTGGTTCGAGCGCTATACAAACCCAGCGCGTTCTTCCTCATTGATGCTCGACCACATCACGTGGTAACACGTTCCTATTAGGATCGAAGTACGGCAATTCCGTTCGTAGTACGTTAATCTCGTTTTAAGTACGTTGTCACTCTGTCCAATTGCAGGACGGGGAGAATTTGGAACAGTCTCAAAGTTCTAGACCACCCTTCCCGTCCAAGCCAGTCCGAGCCCGTCCATGAAGTCCTTAAAAAGTTCGTAAATAGTTGCTAATACGTTCAATCCGTTCACACACAGTTCGAGCCCGTTCGGCAACATTTTCCAGATCGTAGTGAGAACTAGTTTGGTGTGATAGGTGCTTGACTTAAACTTCTTGATCTGCAAAGCCTAAAGCGTTTAAGTTGAACGGGAATGAGGAATGGCGAGAACCCGCTGGGTTTTTATAACTCCCGAGTCAGGACGGGATTGCACACGCTCTAGGAACGCACTCAGAACGAGATGAGGAAGAGATAAACTGCCTCTGAACGGGGTGGTCGAGTTAAAAACTAGTTAGAACAAGTGGCGAACTAGTTAGAATAGGTTTGGACGTATTGGGATCGAGGTAGAACTAGTTAATAATGGGTTTAAACTGACTACGGACTGGCTTGGACTGCCTAATCTACCCGATCTCAACTTATATCACAACTCACGTCGGTTCATGACTTGCGTGGCAATCCATTTGAAACTCGTATACGTCGATGCGATGACTTTCCTTCGTTCAGGCTGATGCGTTTATCTAAGAAGTGTTTTCCCGGAGTCGGGGATACCGAGAAGTACAGAAAGTCTCAAAATCGTCGTTAAAAAAAACAGAGCATTTTTCGAAACAAAAGAACCTTTTGTGGCACAGCTCGTGGCTGATCTCAGCCGTTTCTCACAAGAACAGGTATCAAGAGGCCGCTGGAAAAAAGTAAACTGCGTTGAAAACTCCCCTCAAAATCACGCCGATATCATATGCTAATACATATATCATATACAAACAAAAATCAAAGAGGAAGCATGAAAGGGAAGAACTAGTTTCCACTTAAAATACAGATGTAATGTTGAAGAAAATATGCAAACAAGTACATTGTCAGTATGGAAGGAATATCCCATGTGGATTAGCACAGACTGAAACGGTTACAATACATAATCTGATTCATAATCTGTGTTCATTTTCCTATGATGCTTAATCCAAAAAAGAGCTACTTAAGGTGTTTACGTTGAACCATATTCATAACCATGAAAACAACAAGGTTATTATCAAAAGAGTGAAATGCTAAGACTTCACAGTTTCGAGGAGAATGAGAAGAGTACATGATTTTACGTATGCCCAAACATCGAGCAAAACATTATCATCTTGGTCGTGCATGGAAACCTTGACCAATATGCACAAACATTACTAACCTAGCTGTCAATTAATTACCCAGGCTATTGTACCATGAGTACATAGTTGCAGTTGCCAGCTAGGCGTTGTAAGTTTTTTTGATAATTTTTGTTGTAACTGTTTTGTCTCTTATTTGCAATGCCATTAATTTTTGTCTCAAAGAGAGAACTCTCCTATTTAGTGTATAAAGAAATATTCAAAATTTCTATGGTATGTTTTGAAAAGAAAAGATTGTGGATACAATACTTTGAAAATGTTTTCCCGCGAAAAATGGTGCTTCCACCATGAAACATAGGAAATGGTCATTCTTGATGTAGGTCTTTAGAAACTCGATAGTTATCAATTATGCATATTCTTTCGACAGGTCCTCACCTGTAAGGAAGAATTCATTCGCATGTAAAAGAAAAACAGTCTCACAGAAGAAAAAAAAAGCTTGTTGGACAATGTCAGCAGTATAACAAAATTAGTATTACCCCTGCCCCCACCCCCCAAGTCTAGCAACACACCTGTTAGTTATATGACAACTTCACAATGAAAATAATCTGATTTGTAGTTATGATATTATTATATATAAAACGAGGGCAACGTATCCGTTTCAGAAAAAGTTTAATTCTGGGTCACACTTAATCACTTTGGATAAAATACAATTACACGCAGTTTTGCAGAAACTAATCGACATCTACCTATAAGTACGTCTTATAAATTGCTCCAACAATGCTGAAGGAAAGGTGGAGGTCTTGTCCAGTGGATCGTGGATGACCGTTTGTGGTTATGGCGGCTGGAATCAGTTAAACGCAAGGGTAATATGTAGAATGCTGGGGTACGACGGTGCCCTGGCTGCACCACGATCGGCTAGGTTTGGTCAGGGTTCTGGTGACATTCTTTACGTCAAATGTTTTGGGACAGAAGACAGCCTGGCAGACTGTATCACTGTAGTTAGTTCTTCGTGTGGGCATCAATGGGATGTGGGCGCCGTGTGTTATTCAGGAGGTACGAACTCTTTTGGACATGAGGAATCGACTAGTCGTAATTGTAAATGGCATACTGTTAAAATCGCGACAAAACAAAAAGAATTGAGCTTAAAAGGTCATAAATATTGACCAACATGCAGTCTTATTGCTTTTAAAAACCCGAACACATAATAATATATATATATATATATATTTAGGTAGCTTTAGTTCATACATTAAACAAAAAATTATTCATGGTACGTCTGATGATTGGCACTGACAGTGAATGCTCGTTCAGACAAGACGAGGCAAGACCGTGGCTGTAAATATATATATATATATATATATATATATATTACGTTAGTTGTGTCCCTTGGTGCGCGCAGTTCCTATTCATTTACACGTCATGTCTGAACTAGCCTTTAGGAATCTTTCTTACCTTTCATGAATGATTTGCTAGTGATTCTTTTCCTTGTAAACTTGGGGTGAAGGAAAAGCCGTGTTTTGGTTAATGAGCAAGACATTTAATTGCAAAAGATCAAGACTAGTATAGTGTAAGATGTATGGTTTTCATTATGAACGAAAGTTGTTTTAGCCGGGAGTATTGTTCTATAATCCTCAGCAGTTGTCTAGCAGCTTCTGTGACATATACAGATACATTTTTAAACAAAATTATAAGGTAACAGTTACATAGAACACAAGTAAACTTAATGAAAGAGAGAGAGGCAGAGAGAGTCGCCTGTCTAGCGCACACCTCTATGCAATTTAAAATAAAATATTGGTATTCGGGTGCAATGACATTTGCTATCTGTATTACCCCAAACAGCCCCCCTGTAAAATTGAAGGGTTGGGTTACGTGCTATGACCTTCAATTCTATTTTCTTCATTTAAGAAGAGTTATACATGTTCAAATTATCTTTGAAATTCATATTAAACTTTAAAGGCATCGCTTAACAAAGTTAAATCTGAGATGCATGGCCCTACGTGATATCAGTATTTGTGATATGGTGTAATATTGAAGCCCCAATAATACAAATTGCGCTTCAAAATGATCACGAAGTGCCTCACTGTAAACGGGGTCTTAATTTCATTAA